ACTATTATCGGCTATATGTTTGAATTCGGTTTTAGAACTGTCCCATTGTTATCAGCACTTAAATTGTAGGAATAAAGAATGATCTGGTACAATCCAACTTAACCTAACGTAGTTGTCGTTGGGGCCGGGCTCTGATTTTAATGTAGGAGTTGTCCCTCTCAATCTCTGTTAATCGAGTGAACTTTCTTTCCTGCTCCATTGAGTCGGGATTTTCCAGTCTGGCTTGACGATTTACTTGAAGATTCTCCCCCACTATGAGTCTATGCAACACAAAACAAAATTAGGAATGATTTGAATTAGGTAAAATTATGATCTTTTGTTGCATTGTAAATCAATATATATATCTGGTGCTCTTTTGTTGTTTATGCTATGTAAACCAGACAAGCCATGATTTTCCTTTATATATGCCGGTTCTTAAAAAGAATGGTTTGGTTTTGTATTAGAAGTTTGAATGTTTCATCAATGTTCCATTCTTAAATAATAAGGCTTGGCGGAAGTAGTTGGCTAATAATAGGGCTCCGGAAGACATTTGCTTAGAGTTGGCAAAAGACAATGCATATCTATTTTGATGTTTTTTTAGAAACTGGATCAATCGCAAGCTTATCTATTCTAACAGAATCCAATACGCAAAAGACACCAATTTGGGTCTCAAACCAATGATGCACTTGCAACATTCACACCAAAGAACCAGACTAAAACTACAGCTAGTTCATTGCAGAACACTCTCACCCCAGTTTAAGTGCACTTGAACGATTGAACAGAGATATAATCAAAACTGGTTAGGTATTCCACCAGCCAAATAATCAATGGTTCTTCGTATTTTCTAGAGATAAAAGGCTTACTATAACCTCCTTTAGAAAAAGCATATCACCTTCCCAAAGGGTGAACCATGAACACCCTCATTTAAGGAACTGGAAATATAGGAAGATCAGTCCATAGTTCAATTGCAAATAGCACTCTGCTGTTGTACATCTTTGGGATGCTCTTCCTGATAAGATCACCATACCATTTGACTGTTCAAACCAGCTCACTCTACCCATACAAGTGGAGCAACATCTCATGCTACAGTTGCTAATGAAATTGTAAGTTCATATTATGATTCAATTTTTTTTCAAGCTTCTAAGGGTGATAATAGTTTTGCAGCATGTTTAAGCATTATTGATATAATTAGTATCTAACATCATATATGTCAACGTGGTCATTATTGTATAGGAGAAAAGTTCTCAGGTGACAACTTATTAGGTTTTTTGTACACACGCATACAAAGAATAATGATGGAGTGACTTTCGTATATGATCAAGATAAAGAGCTAAATGTAAGTATTTTTTAAACTTTATTTTTAAAAATGTGCTCTTATAATTAATTTATACAAAATTGTAGGAAGAAATTGTGATGCTCGTGAGGAGTTAATTGATATCGGAGAAGAGGTTGATGATGAAAAATTGTTTTATAATATTGTTGGTGGAGAAGATGGCAACATCAGACTTTATGGACTTGGCTCATTCAGAGAACATTTTGTTCATAATCATGCATCAGAACGCTCTTCAAAAGCATGCACTTCATCACAACAAAGTAAGCGCGTTGATACAGATCATTTACAAGCTGAAGTTAAAAGGTTGCAAGAAATTGTAGAACAAACAAAGGAAATATCAGCAACAAACAGAACAAAAGCAACAAAAGATTGATGATGTTATCCGTGCTTTGCAGGATCAAATCGAAGATTTAGCTCGTGATAGATCTAGGAGTTATTGAATTATGATATATAGCTTAGCTTGCTGTTAGTTTGTTTCTTACATCTTATTGTCGAACCTGAATGGTTTTAGTTTTTTTGTATGTTGAACATGATATGAATACTTCTAAATTTTATAATAACTTATCTTTTAGCAAAGTTGCTTGGTGCATATTTTATTAAAGTAAATATGTTTCTATACATACCGTAAACATTTGCAAGAGAAATATGCAATGAAAATAAATAAAATATGTAGTATATATTTGTTTGATGATGCATTATTGCAATATTTTTTGGAATGGACGATACGCAGTTGCAATTTTGCAATGACATTGGCAATGAATTGTAATAGTAATCACACTTTTATTTAGTAGGAAAATTGCAACATCATTTGCAATGATAAAAAAGTTTGTTGCAATATATGACGTGTAAGTGTAACTTGCAATGACATTTGCAACAAAATTCATACTTAATCATGGTTAATTCTCTTGCAATATTACAACGTCATTTGCAATAATGTTAACTAGCGTTGCAAAAGTTGCAATGACATTGGCAACTTAAGTTTCATTGCATTTGTTGCAATAGAAAATTTGCGTTGCAGTTTTTGCAACAAAAAATGCAAACATATTAAACCCATTGCAAATAGTGCAATGAAAAGTGATGTGTTGCAAATTTGACTGCATAACATTGCAATGGTTGTAATTGTCGTTGCAAAAATTGCAAGGACAACGGGATTGCGTTTGTTGCATTTTCCGTTGCAAATCAAGATTTGCAACGAAATTCGATATTTTGCAATGAAATTTGAAGATAACCGCGCAGTTAAACCGTGCAGTACATTTCAGAAAATCATATGATTGTCTTCCCAGTTGAATTTTTATCTGAAATTTGGTATGGGTAAACAAGACTTAATAAAGAAGACGCTAAAAAAATTTCATCAAACAATTCCATCGAGAACCGCCCGAAATGGCGACGGTCGGACAGAACCTCCTATATAATGAGTGATTTGCACTTTTTAAATTAGTTTGAGGACCTATTTGACTCTTTAGCCAATTTTTTATTTGTACTCCATTTGTACATCACAATTCATAGGTTTTCATGATCTTTCATATATATAACATTATCACATCAATATTGCACATGTAAAATTTAAAAATAATTGAAATTTCAATTGTTGGAAGTTTAGGCTAAAAACACGAAACACAATTTTTTAATCCACATTGCCTACACAAATATAATAACTGAATTTTACTTGAACCCATTTTATTCTCTTTTAATCGAAAAATGTAAAAAAAAAAGTAATAAAGTAAAAATTGTGTGGTTGATGTTTGTGCAGAGGAGAGAAAATTATCTGGAACCATAAAATCTTTACTAAGAAGGCAAAGTGTCATGCAAAGTTAGTGAGACAACCCAAAAAAGAAAGTTGCCAAAGTTTTATGTGACGAAGGACGAGTACGTAGTTATTAACATTGAAATGTGAATTTTTTCATTTCATAATTTGTCAGAAAAACAATAAAAGGCAAACATTTCTTATAATAATTTAATTAATGTTTTACTAAATTGATGTTATATAAAAAAATATTGAGCGTATTTTATTAACGGTGTTGGAATGTAAGTACAAAACTATATTAACGGAATTATACTCTTTTCATATGAACCCAGTCTATATTAAAGTTTTGTAAAGATGTAAAGATGCCAGATGGCCCAATAGAAGAAAAAATTCCACTTTTGATCCCATGACTATTATACCACTTCCACATTTAGTCCTTTACTTTCAGATTGTTCACATTTAGTCCGTGACCATTATCCTCTCACCACCCCTCGTCCTTCCGGCCAAAATTCCGGCAAATTTATTGCAGATTTTAGGTATGAAAAAACAAATTTAATGCAAAGATTGATATGAAAAACCCATCCTTATATAAAATTTAATGCAAAGATTAATTCTGATGCTGATAAGTGGACTAAATTTGCCGGAATTTTGACCGGAAGGACGAGGGGTGGTGAGAGGATAATGGTCACGGACTAAATGTGAGCAATCTGAAAGTAAGAAACTAAATGTGGAAGTGGTATAATAGTCATGGGACAAAAAGTGTAATTTTTTCCCAATAGAATTAAAAAGGGACCCAAATTAAAGGGCAAAGGTTCTTTGGAAAATACCTATATTGAGACAGAAGAGGAACAAAATAGAACAGGTTGGCCTAGGTCTAGATATAAGGGCTGCCGCGGCATAGGACAAAGGCATTTCGTCCAAGTCCAATGCCCCTAAAATTAAACAGGAAAACGGAGTCTATGACTAATTCAATCAAGCAATAAGGGAGCCAAATGATTCCAGTCGGCTGGTGAGTGTTTTTTTTCTGTGTTTGTACATATTTAATATTGCAACGTACAAGTTGTGTTATGTTCCCCCAAGTGTCCGACATTTAGCTAGCAATATATATTGTGACTATCTTATCTAGCTGGCTTGTATTATACGTATACTCCAATACTCCATACCATATATATTCCCAAAATCCACAATGATTATTTGAATTCTTTTAAAAAGAATTGCTCTAAGAAAGAATAAAACATGGGAGAAATAGGAAAGTGTGAGTAAAATTTATGAGGAGATTTTCTCATTTTTATCAAATAATTTCCTTTTCGTACAGTATTTTTAAACTCTTTGTAGTTTATTGAAATTTATTATCTGCCTCCCATAAAACTTAGTTAAATTAACTTTTCTTAAAATGGTCAGTGATGGTTAGTTTTTGATATTTATTTCAATTACTATTTTTTTTCTAAATTTAAACTACTTAAATTTTATACTTTTATGCTAACGGTATAAAGATTATCAACAAAGAACATTTCCATATATTTTTTAATTTTTATATAATTTCTTATTATAAATCAAAATGACCATCATTAATACAAAAATTAAAATGACCCAATTTCGTGGGATGGAAAGATCGAATATGTAAGCTTCGTCTTTTAGGCTACTCTATAGATAAAGAACATCATTAATTTAATTTATATAATAATTAAACTGTTATGTACAAAGATAAACCTTGAGGATAGAGAGGACAAAGTGGATTTGATTATACAAGAATAATCAAGATAGCAAGATACACACATTATCCATATTTCCAAAAAAAGAAAGACACATCCATGTGAAGCTTTATTTTGATAATCTCTTCACCTGGCATGTTTTCCTCTCTTGATGATTTCCCAATAATAACATGTCTTCTTGTATGTGTATATATAGAGCAAGTCAATCCCTAGCTACTCCATCCATCCATCATATACATCAAACCACTAGCTACCTACTATAAGTGCTTATTATTAGCTAGGTTTCTTAGCTTGGGAATACTTAGCTTATTGGTGAAATATATCAGCATATCTTTATTTATCTTAAAGTACTAGACAGAATAAAATGGGGATCATGAAACTAGTGGGGATATCTGAAGCAAAGAAGAAGCTTGGAAGAACGATAAATCCGAGGGGGAGGAACAACAATGAGAGTAGCGACGAAGCGGTGGTTCCGAGGGGGCACTTCGCCGTGTACGTCGGAGAAGCACGGCGGCGGTTCGTGGTTCCGATCGAATATTTGGCGCACGCGCTGTTCCAGGATCTGTTGAGTTGGGCGGAGCAAGAGTTTGGGTATGAGCATCCCACCGGTGGGCTGACAATCCCATGCACTGAGGAATACTTTTTAAGCCTCATTTCCATTCTCAGCTCCCATCAATGATATGATCATAACACATTCATGTATTATATAATTGCATATACGTCCAGGGCAATATAGGAATTCATATTATTGATCTTGATCTTTTTTTTTACCATGCATTGGTTATGGTAAAATATGGATATAGTAATAAGGTACTACATTATTATTAATATATCCCCAAAGATTACTTGGAAGAGCTGTACTTATAATGTGACACATGAAGTTTCCGTATACTTTGAAAATGCAAGTTGATTGACTTTTAATTTAATTGACTCCAACTTGACAGCTTGTCTTATTGTCCTTTTTTTCCTAATTACATTTGGTTATTATTTTAGGTGACAACTCCGATATCCATTTAAAAAATGAGGTACTATACCTACCACTCACTTGATTGGTTCAAATCATTACATCATTTTTAATTTAGATTTAAATAATTCAACTACATCATTCTTATTGGTCCATGTGGACAAATGTATGATACCTTGGGTATCATAGAATCTACCATTATTTTAATCATGGGAATAAATTAAAACACTTAGGCTGACCGCAATGTATGGAATCAAAAAATCATATTCTACCTATTCACCCCAATACGTACTCCAATCCAAAGAAAAAAGCGTAGAGAAGAGTCTTGTAGTGGGTGCATAGCTCCCCAAGGATGGATTGGTAGCTCCCTTATTCACTCACATAGAGAGGAAAGTTGGGCGCAGCTCATGGATCAAAGAAAGGAAAAGATACATGGATCCAATCAAAAATGTCATTTTGTGTGTTAATTTCATAATTTAAAATATTTTAGCATTCGTGAACATACAATTAACATTCTAAACTTCCATGGTAAAATAAATAGTATTACCACCACTATATATAATTGCATAGTTTTCAATTTGATATTTTAAATTATGCAATTAACATCATAAATATACATTTTTGAAAGAAATGATATATGACTATGATATGTTAAAATAACATTTTACATAAAGTTTGGGGTATTTAAATTACATATGTAAGTTTGGAGTGCTTATCTCACACCCATTCATAGTTTAGGGTATTTTAATTATTTTTCCCATTCCTATATCATTTTTATTTTTATTCCAATTTTTAAAAAATATATATTAAAATTCGTAACTTTTTATTATCTTTCATATGACACCAATAACGCATACATAAAAAAAATTAAAAAATGAAGTTTTACCTGTTGGAGTTTTTCAGATACAATATTTTCCTTAACTTTGGATTATTTTCCTTAACTTTGGATTTAAATGCAAAAATTAAAATCTCATGCTTAAATTTCTTTTATACATCTTCCAGTTATTTTTTATTTTTAAACGTCTGAAGTAAGAATAAAAAAATAAACTCCAAATTTATCTATTTTATATCAAAATGTTTGAATATTTAAATCATAATTATTCGCAAAAAAGAATTTGGCTAAAAACTGATGGATAATAATACAAGTAAGGTTTTAATTTTAAAAAACATTGTTGGGTGATTATATTGGCGGTGCGGGATTGCAGACTAAAACCGAGTTGACTGAGTGAATATATGTATAAAGTAGTTGGAGATTTAATTTATTGACGGGAAGAGTTGCGGTAAGCTTAGGGATGTATCCCTGTGTAGGTAAGAATTTATATTTATACACATTTTATACACATTTGGCAAAAATAGTCCCTACTGATAAAGTTTCCATGAATAATTATAACTCATTAGCATCTTCACAAAAATGAACCAGACTGAAAGCACTACTAGAATATTAGGGGACTTTAAATGAGTGTCACAAACAGTTTTTCACTTCATACTCCCTCCATCTCTTTAAACTTGATCAAATTTTTGTGGTTAATGATGTTCAATTTTAATTAATGATTCCTTTTAATACGAAATTATTCAAATATGAATATTTTACGAAAATATTAAATTTTTGTTAAAAGCACTTTTATAAAAGTATAGATGTTATACGATAGTATGTTTCACACATATTTAATTACTAAAATCATTGCCCAAAGTTTATTCTCATCAACAAGCTAAGACAAATCAAATTGGCCAAGTCTTGTGGGGTGGAGGGAGTATAAGTCAAAGAATGTCATAAATTGTGACATTTAATACGACTCACAAAAAATGTGTCAAGAAATGATGATATAAATTTATTGTAACATAGTATCATACATTTGTAACAATAGGTTTCAAAATGTGTACAAACATGTCATACAAATTATTGATACATTACTATCATTAATAAAATTCATATAATATACGTAGTAATATAATATACACATGAATTAGTTAATATTCATTTAATACGTTTTTGTTGTTAAATAATTACTTTACAAATTTTTATTGTATTTTGTAGTTTTTTATACGCTTTCGTAGTAGCCTATACTTTTTGTTTGTTAACGTTATGAATAATATTTTTGTAGTATTCAAAGGGCTTATCACTACTGCTGATATGATATTGTTTGTGTGTTATAATTAACTAGTATAGTACCCATGCGATGCACGCGATATTAAATTAATATTTTTATTTTAAAACAATCCCAATATGTTCTTGTTTAAAATATTATTTTAAATAATACAAAAGGTTAATATGTAGCTAGAATTCACTTCAACTTCACTAAAAAGCCTTTTATGTGTAGAATTATTTTTGTAAAAAATCTCTGTTTTTTTAACAACTCACACAACTAAATATGAAGATATTTGTAATCCAAGTACTTATCAATGTACAAAAACAAGATAAGTTTTTTCCCATAAATAATTTAAATTCTAAATATCTTTACCACACTATATCTCAAGTCCAACTGCCAGTCATTGTTTATGCCCATGACCTGGCACCTCCAGGCTCCAGCATCCCAACATTGGAATAGTAGTCTGGAAAAATGTCTCCAATGAATTTTCCTGCCACGTAGTCTAGAGACTATTGACACAGTCAATCAGCAAGTTGTTAGTATGTATGTCCTAGCGACAATAACTTTTTAGAGATACATGTACTTGATCACATTTAGATTTATATATTTGATTGTCAATGTCTTATTCATAATTGTGTTCCTTTGGACTTATGTGATCATCAAGAAACAAATATTGATGATATGCAATAAGATTGGTATTTGAACTGCATCATACTTTTAAAAAGTATAGTTGATCTCAAAACTATGAGTTCCTGTAATTCATGCTGATCACATAGATATTTTAGAGAATATTGGTATACCCACTGAGAAACCATTTGATAAGTTCTGTTCATGTGTCTATGGGATTATCGGCTTATAGTGTAGTCTTATAGTCCTCCGATTTGAGGTCAATACGTACTACATGTGCGGAGTGATGTACTTTGACCATGACCAACACTTGCACTCCAACCGGGATAGATACGACATGTGTTGGGTGCATCACGTAGTGCCTAGCATTGCCACAAGTGCCATGTAATATTCAAATATGGCATGATAAAAGAGAAGATAGTGGAACTACAAAAATGATACCAATAATTACTTTTTATGAGCAAGTGCCAAGTAGTATACTTATTATGTATCTTGTAAAATACATCAATTACCCTTTTATCGTTCGAAATCTTACTAGATATTTAGTGTAGTACATAAATGATGAGCGCTTTTCAAATTTTAAAAAGACTAATATTCTCTCTGCATTCTTTTGTTTAATTTGTTATAATTTCCCATTAGATAGGTGTTTTCATTTTTGCAACAATTAGCCTTTTTGGTAAGTTGTTCATTTAAAAATGCTCAATATATTTCTTCTTCTTGCCTAGACAATTTTGTGTGTTATTTTATTTAAAATGGACCATGACTTTTATTTTAAACTTCATACCATCTGATTCAGTTTTGCTGGAAAACTCACTTTGAATTTATAATATTATACACCATTTTATTTTTTATTGGATATTATGAAATCCTTTATGGGGTAATTTGTATTCTAATAATACCTACATACGTACTTACCTACCTAGCTACCCACCCACCTAGTCACCCACCTGATGAAACGGTTAGCAACACAAGAGGGGAGGGGGGTGAATTGTGTGTGTGTGGATTCGTGGCAGATTTTCGCACGGTTCTAGTGTGGGGTTCAGGGAAATGCGAAATAGTAAAGTGCACAAGGATTTAACGAGGAAAAATCCCTTGGCTCAAAGGGATTAAAAAACCTCGACCTCCCTCGGAGGAATTTGAACAACTCCACAAAAAAGCCTTTGAATGATTACAAAGGAAACTCTCCTAGTCTACCCTTGAGCCACCCCAACTCTATCCTCTCTAGGAAGAGTTATGCATCTCTACCTTGCGGGTAGAGAGCCTCTCAGCTTTACAACAAAGCTCTCACAACACACTAACCAACCTGAGGATGCTACACTTAGCCAATCCTCAAAAAACCCAATTACAATATGAAGAAGGGAAAAAGAAACTCTTTCTGGAACTCCGTGAGCAGGTTCAGGTGCCTTGAACTTAGTAAATATTCTCGTGTATATTTCTCAATAGAAGCTCGGTCAAGCACACACTTTCGTCTGGTCTTCAGTCCAATATATATAGCATCCGTAGCCTCTCCTTTCCTTTTATTCAAAGATCTTCCGGCTCTCCAATATGGTGATCCTCGGTCAACCATATATATATGGAAGCAAGTGGATACGTGCATACTATGAGTAAATGACTCAATAACAAAAAAGATATGGAGTATATTACGTATTTAAATATTCAATGACAATTCCACATGAATATATATCATCACATATAAAGGGAAATAATACTTTATTCTCTTAATATAAGCATGCAACGGACATTATGTAGCAATAAAATATTTATGCAATCAATGATTAGTTCTCTTAACAAATTTGAATATGCAACGATCATATAAGTAAGATATTCAAATAAGGTGCTACAGATCATGCAAGCCAAGATACTTTCCAAAAATATTCATTTAATATTTTAACTAATAATGACTTTTCAACATTAAGTGATAAGGAAATATTTACTTAGTGGATCCAAATATGCTACGGTCAATTGCTGCAGGATATTTATGTAGCATAAGCAATGATTCTTTCCATAAGCTATAAAGCTATATAGGTCAACTCATTAAGGTGAGTGCTTAGTCATGCATGGACAAATATTTAAATTGTGCCACATACATTAAGAATATGCATGATCAATCTAGGCACGTAGATAAGGTATTATCATGCAGGCACATATCAATTAATTTATTCATTATGCACAACAATCAGTCACATAGAACAGAACTAAGTATAGTTCTAATTTCCGTTCCTAATAGAACTGAGAGCAGTTCTGTCCGCCGTTCCACCTACATGGTTAGTCATCA